CAAGGAAACAAGATCCTCTACATAAATTGAAAACAGTAAAGGTCCCAAAACTGATCCTTGCGGGACTCCTCTAGGATTTAATAGAGGTTTAGAATATGTACTTCTACTACCCACGACCTGAAAACGATCAGACAGCATTGACAGGATCAGTTCACTCGAACGTCCCCGGAAGCTGTATCGCTCCAGTTTTTGCAGCAATATACCGTGACTCACACAATCGAAGGCTTTCGAAAAGTCACAGAATACTGCCGCCACAGAGTCCGATCTAGAATTGAGCCCCAGATAAACCTCCTCTAAAAGATTAAAAATTGCGTCCCCAGTGTTCATACTCTTTCTGAAACCAAATTGTGTATTAGTAATTATTTTATGCTTTTCCAGATGTTCAAGCATTCTGGATTTCATAAGTTTCTCCATGACTTTAGAAATTGACGATAACAAGGAAATCGGCCGAAAGTTGGATGGATCATTACTATTACCACCCTTATGCAGTGGAATGACTAATGCTGTTTTTAAACAATCGGGAAACACACCTGTAAAAAATGTCAAGTTCATTAGATTGTTGGTATTCCTGTTGATACTACATATTTTTCTATTTGTTCATGAAGATTTCAGCTGTAACATACCAGAGTTTTACAGAGAAAAAGCTGAAGATAGTAAAATTGTGAATTTTCCAAATGGGATGAACATATCAATAACTGCCATATGATTTCTACCTGCAATTTTGATGTTCCTTATCGAAAATTGGTATTCCTATCGGTGTCATATATTTTTCTATATATTCCTGAAGCTTTTAGCAGTAATCTACCTCAATTTCATAATGCAAAAGCCAAAAATGATGACATTCTGATTTTTTTAATGTGAAATACACTCAGTGATACTTAACCATATGAGTGTTCGTGCAATTTTTTTTTTTTTTTTTGGTGTTGGACGTTGGTATTCCTATTGGTACCGCATATTTTTGTATTTGTTCACGAAGCTTTCAGCTGTAACATACCAGAGTTTTGCAATGAAAAAGCTGAGGATAGCAGAATTGTGAATTTTCCACTCGATTTTCCAAATATGATGAACATATCAATGACTGCCATGATTTCTACCTGCAATTGCGACGTTCCTTATGGAGAATTGGTATTCCTGTTGGTGTCCTGTATTTTTCTATATATTCCTGAAGCTTATAGCAGTAATCTACCAAAATTTCATAATGCAAAAGCCAAGAATAATGAAATTCTGATTTTTTGAATGTGAAATACACTCAGTGATACTTTACCATATTATGACTTTTCCTGCATTTTTTTTTTTTGGATAGTTGATATTCCTATTTGTATCATGTATTTTTCTATATATTCGTGAAGCTTTTAGCAGTAATCTATCAGAATTTCATAATGCAAAAGCCAAGAATAATGAAATTCTAATTTTTTGAATGTAAAATACACTCAGAGATATTTTACTATATGACTTTGTGTGCCATTTTGTTTTTTTTTTTGGAATGTTGATATTCCTATTGGTACCGTATATTTTTTTATTTGTTCATGAAGCTTTCAGCTGTAACATACCAGAGTTTTACAGAGAAAAAGCTGAGGATACATATCAATATCAATGATTGCCATATGATTTCTACCTGCAATTTCGATGTTCCTTATGGAAAATTGGTATTCCTATCAGCGTCATGTATTTTTCTATGTATTCCTGAAGTTTTAAGCAGTAATCTACCAAACTTCTATAATGCAAAAGCTAAGAATAATAACATTCTGATTTTTTGAATCAAAAATATTCTTCGTGATACTTTATCATATTACTTCTGTGTTTTTTTTCCTGAAATGTTGGTATTCCTATTGGTATCGCATATTTTTTCATTTGTTGATGAAGCTTCCAGCATAGCATTGAATTGTGAATTTTCCTAATAATTATGATGAACACTCGGATGAACATATCAATGATTGCGATATGATTTTTGAATTTATCAAACATTGAAAATTTTCCAAAAATGACATTGAGACAATTTTAGCCTCACAGCTCCATTAATTTTCATCCAATTTACACGTATAGGCTCGTATTAAAGCTAATTAAACTCTCTACAAACTCATCAATTAAGATTTCCATTTGATTTCAACAGTTTTGCACCTGAGAAGTTTCAAATTTGAATTTACCCAACATTGAAAATTTGCCATAAATTACATTGAGACTGTTTTTGCCTCACAGCCCCATAAATTTTTATCCGATTTCAATGTAATTAAGCTCTAATTAAAGCCAATTGAATTCTCCACAAACCTGCCTATTGAAATTTTCATATTGTTCCAACAACAGTTTTGCAGCTGAGAAGCTTCAAAATCGAACATTGAAAATTTGCTAAAAATGACACAGAGACAGTTTTTGCCTCATAGCTTCATTGATTTTCATCTGATTTCAATGTAATTAAGCTCTAATTAAAGACAAATAAATTCTCTACAAACCTGGGCATTAAGATTTTAATTTGGTTTCAACAGTTTTGCCTCGAGTTTTACACCTGAGAAGTTTAAAAATTGAAATTATTATCAAACATTGAAAATTTGGCAAAAATTACACTGAAATAGTTTTTACCTTACAGCTTCGTTAATTTCCATCCGATTCCAATGTAATTAAGCTCTAATTGGAGCTAACTAAATTCTCTACAAACCCATTGATTAAGATTTTAATTTGGCTTCAACAGTTTTGCACCTGAAGCAAGGTTGTGCAAAAGCCAACCTTTTTGAGAAAAATACGACTCACTGGGTTTTTGTGAGTTTTTGCAGGGATTGATACTGGAAATTGTCTTAAATGTATTGATGCCAAAACATACAATTTTCGAGATGAAACTGCAACTATTTGGTATTAAAATTAATAAATATCGTCCCTGTAGAGTAAGAATGGGCCATGGCTAAATACAAAATTGTTTGAGAAAACCAAGAAAACCTTGAAGAACTGCAGAAAATTATTTTTAAAAAATATAAATAATTGTACTTTTCCTGCCTACATAAGTTTGTGTACGTGCCGCTTGTCACCTTTTTATACAACGTGCATTGTATTGGGGTATGAAGATGTTATGGCCCCTTTTTGCTCTATAGAGGCAAATGAAGTATGGACTTAATACTTGGGAACTAGGCTTTTTATTACATTTTTATTTTGTATTTTTCTGAGACACGAATTCAACCCAATCAAAAGCCAGGGATATTTTAAATTTGTCTTTCGACAATCAAAATTCAACTTTTGTCTATTCCTGGCCCTTGATTGGTCCAAATGCTAATAGTATAGAGACACGTCTTTCTACAGCTAATCGGCTAATCAAGCATAATAGAAAAATAGCAATTGAATTGAGATTGTTGGACTTACAGAACTTGAATTTTCATTCAACTGCTGGCTATTCCCAGTTCTTGACCGAATTTGTTCAATTTGATCTAATTGGTTGACTTGGTTCTGAGATACGAATTTAACCCAATCAAGAATCAGGAATATTTGAAATTTGATTTTTAGCAATCAAAATTCAACTCTTGTCTATTCCCGGCCCTTGGTTGATCCTAATGCTTTTTTACAGTTTATCAATCGATTAGGCAAAATACAAAAATAGCAATTACTGAATTGAGATTATTGGACTTTCCTATGGCTATTTCCAGTTCTTGATCGAACTTGTTCAATTTGATCTAATTGATTGAATCGGTTCTGATTTGCTTTTAGAATCTTGAATAAAGATTAATATAGAAACATAAAAATTCTATTCCAGGCCCACCTGAAGTTGAAATTGAGCTATAAAAGTTTCAAACTTTGATTTCTATCCAAAACAGGTGGAGCGATATAAAAAACCTAATTTTTCACTTTTATATTGCAAAAATTCGAGCAAAAATTTAACTGAAACACCCTGTATATAATATGGTGATCTATTATAAATGTTACCCCACCTAACTTTTTAATTTAACATTTCTGACAGAAGTTTCGAGGTTTTAGGGAATATAAGGTGTGTCAAAAAAGTGTTGCAGAGCAAAGTGATATTTATTTAAATGTAATACCAAGTGATTTTTTTCTAAATATGAACAATTTAAATAATTTTTCAAGAATTGTTAATGTAGGGTAAACTGCCAATATATTCCAGTATACACAAGGTTTATGCAATCTCATGTATTCTTATTTTTTCATGTACCTATTCCAATGTATTCTTATGTATGCCCTATGTTTTCATGTGTATTTCTTTGTATTCTTATGTATTCTCGAGTGTATTCCTACAAAATTCCATGGTTCACACGAGTCCTCAGCTTTATTTACGGTTGTGATAATCTCTGCCATCCAGTGTTGCCAATTTATCACTTTTAAGGCCATTTCGAGCCTAATTATTATAGATTATGCCCCAAAATTTACGCTCTAGCCTTTCTAAAGAATAATAATAATAGGTATATAAATTTTTTCAAATAATATGACGACTTCTAACAATTAATGAATCAGTTAATGAATAATAAAACTTATCTACAATGGTAATGAATGGTATCAGTAAAAAATGCAAAACTAATATTACAGCTAAAAATTACGATAAAATTATACAAAGGAATAATTGTGTTTATGTTATCATTTCAATGTGATTACTTATGTGGAAGTAATAATAATAACACATTAATAACAAAATATGACGTTATTTCTAATATGCAATTTCATGGCATTATATTCTATGAAATAATCAGGGCATGCTGATAAGGTTTATTTTGCAAAGTTGACTTTTTATAAAAGAAAATAAGTCATAAAGACATGACTATGACAATACTCAGGAGTTTTTTTAATGTATTTTGGATTATTGTTTATCATATAAATGAAATAAATAAATTTTGATTTGTTTTTATTTGATATTTCTCCTCTTTCAAAATCCTTAGTAATTTCCCCTGGTCGCAGTAATTGAAAGATCTTTTAGAAGCTTCATAAAGGAAGACTTTTTTTCATATTAAAATGTTGTGACTGCACCCTCTGGTTGATTTTTGTACACATTGAAATTCAAACCTTTTTCTTTTCAGTTGCCCCTATTTACATAGAACAGCAGGAGACACAGAGAGACGTTATCACCTCAGATATTACAAAACGTGCATGTGCGTGCACGACACAGATTCCAGAGGCTACTGCGTTAAAAATGGCTTACATTGCGCGTTCGCTCATGGCAGTCACGATCACAGACCGCCAGTTTATGACATCAAAGAAATCCAGGCCCTTGAAGCTGCAGAGGCAGAGGGCAGCAGCTCTTCCAATGGACCCAATGCTTTGGACAAGGAAAGAAATTTGATGAACGAAGATCCAAAATGGCAAGGTAAAAACTTCCCATAATATAAATATAGTTGTTTATATTTTTTTTATATGTAGATACAAATTTCGTTTTGTCAAACTATAAAACCGAACAGTGCAAACGCCCTCCTAGATTATGTAGGCAAGGTTATGCTTGTCCGCAATATCACAATAATAAAGACAAGCGACGAAGCCCTAGAAAATTCAAATACAGATCTACGCCTTGCCCCAATGTTAAACACGGAGAGGAATGGGGCGAGCCTGGCAATTGCGATGCTGGGGATATGTGTTCTTATTGTCACACCAGGACTGAGCAACAATTTCATCCTGAAATTTATAAGAGCACTAAATGTAATGACGTGCAACAATCGGGCTATTGCCCTAGGGGTGTATTTTGTGCTTTTGCACATGTTGAACGTAAGTATTCTATATGAAATCTTAATGTTGTACTAAATAATAAAAATTTTGTAGAAGAATTAGGAGTATCAAGAGAAGCAGGCGATAGCTCAGGCACAAACTTAGGTGAAATTCTATCCAATGCCCTTCCACCACCAAATACTGAGGTAAAAAAAGATAAAACTAGTGAAAACTCAGTAAGTATTAAATAGAACTTGAACTTTGAATAATAAAAACACTAATATTTAGAACCATTGGTTCCAGAATGGTAGCAGCGAAGTTAGCGAATCGGCTTCTTCGACATCGTCTATAGGTTCAAATAGTTGCAGTAGCAATAAAGCCCCCGGAGCTCAATTGACACATAAGGTGTTGCCATTTCAAAGGCATAGTAATAATCTCGAGTTAGAATTGACTGCTAAATTGTTGCAAATTGAAAAAGATCCCAATTTAGGTAATATTCTCAATGATAAATTGATAGGTTATTGAAATAATTTCCATACTTAGATCCAATTGAAAGAGAGCAACGTAGACAAACTTTATGTTTTACTTACAATAGTTTGGGAAATTCATTTTTCACTGGAAACGATACAGTGGAAAGCGTAGTTGGTATGTATTTAATACATTGATTGAAGTTGCCTGATTATTTTTTTTAAGGCAATGCTCTTGATGAAATCAATCTAGACGATTTTAATTTAACTGGAGCCTTAGATAGAGATATGGATACCGATTCGCCAACTGTTGCAAATTCAATATCAGTTGGCTTAGCATCATCTGCAGGACTTTTAGGTAAAATTCTTTCCAATTATTGTAGTAATTTGTTATTTATTGGAATATTTCACACATAGGTAGTTCAGCTCCAGTAAACATTCCTAGTTCGGCTCCAAGGACTTTGGGCGGTTTCAGTCCGACAAATAACAGCCCTCTACAGCCATATTTAGCTGCAAGGTATTCGCAAACAGATACCATGGACTTTTTGAATCACAGTCAAATTCAACTTAGCAGTAGTGCGTCCAAGATTAACAGTTTCTCTGGATATTTCGACTTCCAAACTCAGAGTATATCGCCCAGTTCTAGGAATCATAATAGTTTTAGCATGTCGCCTAGTATAAATAATAATTTGGAAGTTGCCAGGTGAGAACTTTAGTATTTTTGACTTTTTTGGACTTTATACAGATAAAAACACTCTATCTTAAATTGGTTGAGCATATATCTCTGGAACTATAGGTTTGAATGAGTTGAAATTTTCAAGGATTGCAGTTCATTTGGACTTATACCTAGTTTCTGAAATAAAATTGTGTTAAGCAACTTGGGGTAGATTATCAATCTTTCTGAGTACCTTTTTTCATAGATTTCGATTCAAAATAATTGGGGGGGGGCAGTTAGAAATAACGTGTAACTGTTCTAGAGAGGAGAAATTTTGCGTTCAAGAACCGTCAAATCATTCTCAGAACAGTTTTAAATTCACAGTGCACGTAGTTTACTCTAGAACCATTATTATAGAATAATTCAGAAATTGATTCAGAATAAATTTAAACGAGTTTTGTGCTCAAAACTGTTCTTAAATGATTTAAGAACCATTGAAAGTGTGTTCTAGAGTTGGGAAAGAAATGGAAAAGTTCCAGAACAAATTAGAAAATGAAGATTTATGAGAAAAAATGTGATTGTTCTAGAACAAATTGTATGTTCAGAGCTGTTCTTTTTTTCGGATTTGTGAAACAAAATGCTAATGTTCTGGAACAATTTGGAGAAGGTGCAGTTAAAAATAACATGTAACTGTTCTAGAAAAGAGAAATTTTGTGTTCATAGATGTTTTTGAAGGATTCAAGATCCGTGAAATCATTCCCAGAACAGTTTTAAATTCACTCTCAGTGCGCGTAGTTTACTCTAGAACCATTATAGAACAATCCAGAATAAATTCTAACGAGTTTTGTGCTCAAAACTGTTCTTAAATGATTGAAGAACCATCAAAAGTGTGTTCTACAGTTGGAAAAATAATGGAAAAATTCCAGAACAATTAGAAAAAATGTGATTGTTCTAGAACAAATTATATGTTCAGAGCTGTTCTTTTTTCAGATTTTTGTGAAACAAAATGCAAATGTTCTAGAACAATTTGGAGGGGGTGCAGTTAGAAATAACATGTAACTGTTCTAGAAAAGAGAAATTTTGTGTTCATAGCTGTTTTTGAAGGATTCAAGATCCGTGAAATCATTCCCAGAACAGTTTTAAATTCACTCTCAGTGCGCGTAGTTTACTCTAGAACCATTATAGAACAATCCAGAATAAATTTAAACGAGTTTTGTGCTCAAAACTGTTCTTAAATGATTGAAGAACCATCAAAAGTGTGTTCTATAGTTGGAAAAATAATGGAAAAATTCCAGAACAATTAAAAAAAATGTGATTGTTCTAGAACAAATTGTATATTCAGAGCTGTTCTTTTTTCAGATTTTTGTGAAACAAAATGCAAATGTTCTAGAACAATTTGGAGGGGGTGCAGTTAGAAATAACATGTAACTGTTCTAGAAAAAAGAAATTTTGTGTTGATAGCTGTTTTTGAAGGATTCAAGATCCGTGAAATCATTCCCAGAACAGTTTTAAATTCACTCTCAGTGTGCGTAGTTTACTCTAGAACCATTATAGAACAATCCAGAATAAATTCTAACGAGTTTTGTGCTCAAAACTGTTCTTAAATGATTGACGAACCATCAAAAGTGTGTTCTATAGTTGGAAAAATAATGGAAAAATTCCAGAACAATTAAAAAAAATGTGATTGTTCTAGAACAAATTGTATATTCAGAGCTGTTCTTTTTTCAGATTTTTGTGAAACAAAATGCAAATGTTCTAGAACAATTTGGAGGGGGTGCAGTTAGAAATAACATGTAACTGTTCTAGAAAAAAGAAATTTTGTGTTGATAGCTGTTTTTGAAGGATTCAAGATCCGTGAAATCATTCCCAGAACAGTTTTAAATTCACTCTCAGTGTGCGTAGTTTACTCTAGAACCATTATAGAACAATCCAGAATAAATTCTAACGAGTTTTGTGCTCAAAACTGTTCTTAAATGATTGAAGAACCATCAAAAGTGTGTTCTATAGTTGGAAAAATAATGGAAAAATTCCAGAACAATTAAAAAAAATGTGATTGTTCTAGAACAAATTGTATATTCAGAGCTGTTCTTTTTTCAGATTTTTGTGAAACAAAATGCAAATGTTCTAGAACAATTTGGAGGGGGTGCAGTTAGAAATAACATGTAACTGTTCTAGAAAAAAGAAATTTTGTGTTGATAGCTGTTTTTGAAGGATTCGAGATCCGTGAAATCATTCCCAGAACAGTTTTAAATTCACTCTCAGTGCGCGTAGTTTACTCTAGAACCATTATAGAACAATCCAGAATAAATTTAAACGAGTTTTGTGCTCAAAACTGTTCTTAAATGATTTAAGAACCATTGAAACTGTGTTCTAGAGTTGGGAAAGAAATGGAAAAGTTCCAGAACAAATTAGAAAATGAAGATTTATGAGAAAAAATGTGATTGTTCTAGAACAAATTGTATGTTCAGAGCTGTTCTTTTTTCGGATTTGTGAAACAAAATGCTAATGTTCTGGAACAATTTGGAGAAGGTGCAGTTAGAAATAACATGTAACTGTTCTAGAAAAAAAAAAATTTGTGTTGATAGCTGTTTTTGAAGGATTCAAGATCCGTGAAATCATTCCCAGAACAGTTTTAAATTCACTCTCAGTGCGCGTAGTTTACTCTAGAACCATTATAGAACAATCCAGAATAAATTTAAACGAGTTTTGTGCTCAAAACTGTTCTTAAATGATTTAAGAACCATTGAAACTGTGTTCTAGAGTTGGGAAAGAAATGGAAAAGTTCCAGAACAAATTAGAAAATGAAGATTTATGAGAAAAAATGTGATTGTTCTAGAACAAATTGTATGTTCAGAGCTGTTCTTTTTTCGGATTTGTGAAACAAAATGCTAATGTTCTGGAACAATTTGGAGAAGGTGCAGTTAGAAATAACATGTAACTGTTCTAGAAAAAAAAAATTTTGTGTTGATAGCTGTTTTTGAAGGATTCAAGATCCGTGAAATCATTCCCAGAACAGTTTTAAATTCACTCTCAGTGCGCGTAGTTTACTCTAGAACCATTATAGAACAATCCAGAATAAATTTAAACGAGTTTTGTGCTCAAAACTGTTCTTAAATGATTTAAGAACCATTGAAACTGTGTTCTAGAGTTGGGAAAGAAATGGAAAAGTTCCAGAACAAATTAGAAAATGAAGATTTATGAGAAAAAATGTGATTGTTCTAGAACAAATTGTATGTTCAGAGCTGTTCTTTTTTCGGATTTGTGAAACAAAATGCTAATGTTCTGGAACAATTTGGAGAAGGTGCAGTTAGAAATAACATGTAACTGTTCTAGAAAAAAAAAAATTTGTGTTGATAGCTGTTTTTGAAGGATTCAAGATCCGTTGAAATCATTCCCAGAACAGTTTTAAATTCACTCTCAGTGCGCGTAGTTTACTCTAGAACCATTATAGAACAATCCAGAATAAATTTTAAACGAGTTTTGTGCTCAAAACTGTTCTTAAATGATTTAAGAACCATTGAAACTGTGTTCTAGAGTTGGGAAAGAAATGGAAAAGTTCCAGAACAAATTAGAAAATGAAGATTTATGAGAAAAAATGTGATTGTTCTAGAACAAATTGTATGTTCAGAGCTGTTCTTTTTTCGGATTTGTGAAACAAAATGCTAATGTTCTGGAACAATTTGGAGAAGGTGCAGTTAGAAATAACATGTAACTGTTCTAGAAAAAAGAAATTTTGTGTTGATAGCTGTTTTTGAAGGATTCGAGATCCGTGAAATCATTCCCAGAACAGTTTTAAATTCACTCTCAGTGCGCGTAGTTTACTCTAGAACCATTATAGAACAATCCAGAATAAATTTAAACGAGTTTTGTGCTCAAAACTGTTCTTAAATGATTTAAGAACCATTGAAACTGTGTTCTAGAGTTGGGAAAGAAATGGAAAAGTTCCAGAACAAATTAGAAAATGAAGATTTATGAGAAAAAATGTGATTGTTCTAGAACAAATTGTATGTTCAGAGCTGTTCTTTTTTCGGATTTGTGAAACAAAATGCTAATGTTCTGGAACAATTTGGAGAAGGTGCAGTTAGAAATAACATGTAACTGTTCTAGAAAAAAAAAAATTTATGTTGATAGCTGTTTTTGAAGGATTCAAGATCCGTGAAATCATTCCCAGAACAGTTTTAAATTCACTCTCAGTGCGCGTAGTTTACTCTAGAACCATTATAGAACAATCCAGAATAAATTTAAACAAGTTTTGTGCTCAAAACTGTTCTTAAATAATTGAAGAACCATCAAAAGTGTGTTCTATAGTTGGAAAAATAATGGAAAAATTCCAGAACAATTAAAAAAAATGTGATTGTTCTAGAACAAATTGTATATTCAGAGCTGTTCTTTTTTCAGATTTTTGTGAAACAAAATGCAAATGTTCTAGAACAATTTGGAGGGGGTGCAGTTAGAAATAACATGTAACTGTTCTAGAAAAAAGAAATTTTGTGTTGATAGCTGTTTTTGAAGGATTCGAGATCCGTGAAATCATTCCCAGAACAGTTTTAAATTCACTCTCAGTGCGCGTAGTTTACTCTAGAACCATTATAGAACAATCCAGAATAAATTTAAACGAGTTTTGTGCTCAAAAACTGTTCTTAAATGATTTAAGAACCATTGAAACTGTGTTCTAGAGTTGGGAAAGAAATGGAAAAGTTCCAGAACAAATTAGAAAATGAAGATTTATGAGAAAAAATGTGATTGTTCTAGAACAAATTGTATGTTCAGAGCTGTTCTTTTTTCGGATTTGTGAAACAAAATGCTAATGTTCTGGAACAATTTGGAGAAGGTGCAGTTAGAAATAACATGTAACTGTTCTAGAAAAAAAAAATTTTGTGTTGATAGCTGTTTTTGAAGGATTCAAGATCCGTGAAATCATTCCCAGAACAGTTTTAAATTCACTCTCAGTGCTCGTAGTTTACTCTAGAACCATTATAGAACAATCCAGAATAAATTTAAACGAGTTTTGTGCTCAAAACTGTTCTTAAATGATTTAAGAACCATTG